GCTCTTGGTATAATTTTCAACTAAATGAAGTTCATATAAATTAATTTGCTACTATTAAGATTGATTCATCAGTCATTCATTAGTAACATATCATCTGTTAAGGTTTTAGGGAGACGCCCATATTGCGTGTTTTTGAAAAAGATCACATATATAAATTAGATAAAGTTGAAGTTTTATAATACTTCACTACGGTATAACAGCATTAATTTCATTTAAGTCCGAATAAGCATGTTCGTATTTAACTGAGAAATATCTTAATTCAAGATTGGATGTGATTAACTAACGAAAGCGTTTTAGTAATTTTCAGTTGGGCTTTATAAACAACCCTTTGTGTCACACTTAATCGAAAGTCCGTGATAGTCTAGAAATACTTATTCTATTTTATGTTAAATGCTTACTTCAATATTGAATGTGATAACTTATCAAATTATTTTAGTGATATCAAGTTTTGTTTTATAAACAGTCCTTTATCCTTTGACAAGTACTATTAATTTTTTATGTTCACCAATTGAATGCAATTCCATTATAAGCAGTTTTTCGCATAGTTTAGGTGCAACAGAGAAATGTGATATGGATCGATATCACTTAGTGGTCTAGCGATTTATTCGGTTTAGAGTTCATAACTATAACCACCAATTTTTTAACATTATGATACATAATCAAATCAAACACAATTTACTAAGACTATAAGGTTTTATACACATTTTTTTTTCACATCCTCAAAACTTTAGCTGCAGTTAAGTCAGAACGAGCGACTTATCTTATTTTAAACCAAAAAAATTGTTCCGTAACTGCTTTAGTAATGACTTCCAGATTTAATATAACATACTTATAAAAAACTTTGCAGGATATTCACATTTCAATTTAAAAACGTAATTTAATTGTCTGTTAATTATTTTTTACAATTCAAGATTGTTTTGAATTTAGTCTAAATTATTAATAACAACTCTGGTTTACATTTTATATTAACTAAGCTGTTTGTCATAATGTAACCCCCAGCGTGTTAATTAGTTTAATGAAAAAATTAAAAATCTTTTTGAAAGTGAACTTGTTAAGAGTAGTGAAAAAAAATGTATTCTTAGAACTCACAACTTCTTCTAAAGCACATCCTTAACATCTTTCTTTATAAATGCATAACCCAAATCGTAACAGTCAGTCAGTCACTCGCAACTAATTCCCATGTGATGAAACAAGTCAACCGTTAATTTGCCATACTTACAACATCCCAAGACGATTTAACTGAAGACCCTTTCATTAAATGAGTTAAAGTAAAACAAAACAAAGGACATAAAAGAAGGAAAACTTAGAAACCCAAGTGCATATACTTTCATTTGCATTTTGTGAAGAAAGTGTGAAGAAAGTTGCGAATTTACAAGACATAATATTCCCTGAAGGAGCAGCTTTATTCCGAGCAAATATTCCTTTTTCTTTAATTTTGAAATGAAAATATTAACACAAACAGCAGCAAACTAACAAAATATTTTGCTGCTTCTATATTTCACACATAATTTTATATCCTTGCCTTCATTGTAAGACATAAAAGTTTTAATGCAGACATATAAAAACTATACAAACATACCATATATACAGGAAAAAAAATAATTTCATACAAAGCACATAAGACAACCTACATAAATTGCGGCTTTCTGCTTTATCTCTTATCAAATAAAATTATCTACAAACAAAGGATATTTCACGTCATCTTCCTGCTCATACCATTTTTTCATTTATTCGTGTCGTAAATCGTCTGATTTGTTGCACAATGTCCTTGCTAATACTGCCTTTGGATGTACACACTTCTTCCACAATTGGATGTACATCTACACAATTTATCTTACTTCCACTTTCTTAACGAATTTAAGCTCTCATTTACTTTTTAACCATCATTTGCATTTGTGGCTGCCTGAGGACATTTTTTGCATTAAGGAAGCAAAAAACAATGTCATAAGTATCCTTTGCCTTTTCAGAATCTTAGCTTTTAATCTTTATAGTTTGTTCACACAATTGTTGACAATTTAATTATCTCTTCTATTGTATCTCTGGTCAACATTTCTTATTCTGTTACATTATTCTTAGAAGTTTTATAGTTCGGTTTCATTAGCAGAAGAAGACAAGTTAAGTGCAGCAAAAGTTTAGCAATTTGTTTTAATTGCTTGACACTCAACTCAAAACCATTTAAACTATTTGACTTATTCGTGTCTTAAGAGAAAAAACTTCATACAAAAGTCGTTAGGCAAATGAAATTTGTGGCTTCTTCCATACTTTATTGTTTAAAAATTTTTAATTGAATTTGTAAGAAAACAAAAAATTTTACGTGCAATTTAACCTTAAAAGGAAAAATCCCTCAAAGGTATGTCCTATCATATGGAAAAACTTCGATTATTTACAATATTTTAGTAAAACTGCATATGAATTGTTTAAAAACAAAAAAATATAAATATAAATATATTGATGCTAAATATTTTGAGAAATTGTAAAGGAAATAATAATAATATCATTAAATTTTTCATACATTCTCTGACAAAAACTCTATTGAACAGTAAACGAAAATAAACAGTACACTATCGTAGTGTACTGCTTATGTCCAAAACACAACAAGAAATTTTTAGTGTTTGTGTTGATGAACGCAACCGCGAGCAGTACACTACAAATTAAATCGACCTGTACGAAACACTAAAATAGTGTACTGTTTCGGACATCTCATGTAAAATTATTAAATATCCACATTAGTGTCTTTTTCACAAAGGTAGTAAACTTTTTAATGATCTATTCACGAAGATAGTGAATTTTACTAGCGATCATTTAACAAAAGTAATATATTCTAACATGTTTCAGTGTATTTTAGTGTATTGTTGTGTTTATGGAACAAAACATTTTGGGAATGTTTTTATTGTGCATTGTTGTTTTTTCGTTTGCGTAAGAGGAAAAATTATAAAGAGATAATATTTTAATGTACAATTTGTATACAATAATAATGAAATGCACAATATTAAATTTTTTTAGTTTAATATAAAAAATGTGAAATGAAAGAAAATTGTAAACCGTTTCTGTAAGTAGTTATGTTTCATGTAAAGTATATATGGTATTTAGATTATTGTATGGAACTATATAGTTTTCTATCTAAACGCATTATTCAACCAATAAATGAGACAATATAACAATATAAATAGCATGTGTGTTATATGTGTGTGTATGCAGTCTTTGTCGATTATAAAAAGGCATTTGATTCAGTCAAAAAAGAGACGATGTGGCCAGCGCTACAGAGACTTGGTATCTCGCAAAAAATAATCAATATAATAAAGAAAAGCTATAAAGATACGAACTGCACTGTTCTGCATAATGGAAAAACAAGTGAACCAACCATTTCAGTAACTGGAGTCAAACCATTCTGCATTTTATCATCACTACTGTTTATAGTTGTGCTCGATGGGGTGTTAGAATTGTTCGATACGACATTGTACTGCTTTTGCACTCACATCAGCAAATGCAATCGAAAATTAATGAATTACAAGACGAATTGCCGAAGGATGGCTTGAAGATAAACATCAGTAAAACTGAAGCAATACGTATAAAAACCGAAAACTCAACTCCGTTTACAATCAATGGACATCACACGCAGACACCGAGAGCTTTACTTACTTAGAGAGTATTCTATCGGTGAATAGAGGTGCGAAAAAGAATAGAGCGTAAGTCTTATGAAGATATCGCGCATGCTGCACTTTCTTGGAACCCCCTCCAATGACAGACCAGCAATGATCATGAGAAGGACAGTGCATGAGTAGACGAGCAAATCGTTTAACGAGTTGAGAACAATAGCTAGGAGACGAAACCAGTGGAAAACTTTTGTAGACTCCTTAAACTTCTAATGAAGTAAGGAGCTAATAATAATAGGTAATATAGTTTTTATTGTGACAATGCATTTCAGTTAAAACGCTAATTTTTTTAAGCAATCAAAAAAATCATATCTGAGTTAATAGATAAAACTATTTTAAAAAAAAAATATTGTCTTATAACATAACGAAGGCAAAACAAAAATTTTTTCTAACACTATTACAAAACACTACTCAATATTTGGTGTATAATAAACTGTAAAGGTAATTATTTTCGATTATTGCTATTAAAGTAGAAAAAAAAGAGAATTAGTTCAAAAATTTAAATAAATATTATAAAAGTTGATTTAGTTAATTTTTGGATGACCTTACAGTTGTTTTAGATATTATCATATATAATATTATCAGTAGGCTTGTTATATGTTTCCATGACTACATTGTCTACGTATTATTTTTCTGGACTAATTTCGAAAGGATTAAACTTGAACTGTGTCAAATTTGAAAGAAGAACTAATTTGCTGCATACTTAAATTAACGTCGTATCTGATCAAGCTTATGGATTTGTCAAATGATTATTATTCCGTCAACAAATGCGATTAATGATTTATTTGATGTAGTGATCCATATAGGAGGACCTTATCAAATAAATAGATTACTACCTGTAATGAGATATCGTGTGTATGCCAACGAGTGTTAAATAAATTTTCATTGTCATGCACAAGTTCTACCATAGGTACAATTGTTCCATCACACAATTCATATCTAGTATTTTTATATCTTTGGTACGGATCCTTTTTTATAAGTCTTATCCTACTTTATGGTTATTGAAAAATTACTCTGATGTTAGAATAGACTTGAAATTCCAAAATTTTTAAATTTAAAGTAGAAATTCATTTTAATTCTCTCCAACTTCCAATTAAAAACATTTAACATAATTTATTTAGTAGAGAGGTTTCGAAAAGTAGTAAACTACAACAACAAAAATTTTTTTTACATTATTTTTAATTAATTGAATTTTCTGAACATACAGCTGTTTCGAGCATTGCCAAACACCCATATTTAGTAGTCTTGGACCATTATTTCTATTATTTATTGTTTTTCTTTAAAAAATGAAATACATTTAAAAATGTTTAAAAATAACAAAACTCATACATACATACGTTGGATTTATCATCCCTGATAATATTTAATAATATTTTTATAAGTATATTTTAAACGAAAGGTTACTTATTTGACTCACCACTGTCTCTGACATGTTGGCATCTTCTGAAAAAGATTTACGAGAACTTCTGTGTTCGTCCTTCAGATAGTCGACATCGTCATTATTATTTCGATTTATGCTTTCATTTGGACGATAAACATTAAAATTACTTTTAATTGATGTTGTTTGAGTTGTCATTTTTGTAGTTGTTGTTGTGGCGGTTGTTGTCATTTTAGGCTTCTTTGTTGGAGGCTCCGGTAGGATGTCACTGTCAGTTTCCATCTCAGCAAATGCATTGTCATTTTTCGTACTCTGATATGCTGGCGATAATGTAGTTACATCATAGTTGTTGATATGTTCTTCATATTCCTGTTGTGGTTGTTGTCGCTGTTGTTGTTGGTGCATTTGCTGATATCTAATTTGTTGTTGCTCCTGTTGATGTTTTAAATGTTGTTGGTGATGCTGGTGTTGATGATGCTGGTGTTCCTCTGTTTTGTAATCATAATATAATACCGAAGGTAAATTTTCTGGAAAATTCAAAATTTTGCTTGTCGCATGACTATGTTGTTCCTGTTTGTGTTGCTGTTGCTGCTGCTGCTGCTGCTGCTGTTGTTGTAGTTGTTGCTTTTGTTGATGTTGTTGATATTGTAACGCATGTGGCTGCTGATGTTTCTGTTGTTGTTCCTCAATAAAACATTCATGTTCATTGTACTTTTGCTGTTGTTGGTGTTGATGTAACTTTTTCTTTAGTTTCTTTGCAATGTGCAGCATTTTGTTGCTCTTTTTATGTTGCTGTTTGGCTTTGTGATGGATTTTATCATTTTCATTTGCAATTAATTTCTTATGTTGTTTTTTTGTTGTATTTGCATTTGATTTAGTGGGTTTGTATTCCTTTTTCGAATAGGTGGTATACTCCACTGTACTGACATATGACGGTGTTGTGCTTTTTTGTGCTTGCTTGGCTGTAAATCAAAATTATTTTTGAGTTAATTAAAGACTAATAATCAAGCAGTGGTTGGAATATTCGTTCTCTCAAAAACAAATTATTCAAAACATTATTTTAAAGAACAGAAAACAAGTATATTATTTTAATTATAATTAGTATATAATTTCTCGAACAATAATAACGAAACCTGAATAAGTTTTCTGTTTATATTAATGATAGTAATTTCAAGTAGATAAGCATATTCTCTTATTATATGTAACATAAATTTAAATAAAATCTCATATACAATGAGAATACAAAATTACATTTTGGAAAAGAAAATTCTCAACATTATTGACTAATGTAATTACATCCAACATTCAAACTATACTAATTACAAAATGGACTACATTCCTCACAGATATTTTCATTCAATGAAAAACGAAAAATACTCGCAATATAATTAAGTTGCATTTTGATGTATCTGTAATAACGTATAACATTGCTCAATGCAACAATGTATGTCCAACTGTATGTATAAGGATTTCACAGTAAAATCAACAGGATGCTGCAGTTATTGAAGGGTTAAGCGTTAAAAACTGAAGTTTTATCTTCGAACTACATCATGGTCAAAGTTTTTGTTTTTATTTTTACTTTCATTTTTATTTTATATTCAATTTCTACATTATCGTATGCACTATGTTATCTCTAAAATAAAGAATTTCAACCAAATTTTTTTTGAAATTAGCATTCTAAAAGAAAAACATTTGGATGAACTATGTATATTTATTTCTCATTTTTTTTCAATTCAATAAGAATAAAACCATTTTTCAGCACTCTATTGCCACTTCTCGAAAAATCACATTAAATTTAATGACTTTATTTTGTTTCATTTGTTCATAACTAATCTTATGACTCATTTAAGAGTAACACTGCTTTATATTGTCGTAAAGTTGACTGACATCTCCTTTCAAAGCGTCCCACAAATCTTGGTACTCGTAGAAATAATACGCCATTTATTAAGATTCATACAAAAAGTATAAACAGAATGGCTTAAATCTGAATAAAATTTGGTGTAGTAAAGTAATTCCATTTCCTAATTATTATCTAAAAACTATTTTATAATAAATAAATTTCAGCTATTCAAAGGAATAAAACAATGTATAAGTCACTATAAAAATATTCATTTTTAGTCAGTTTAGCGAATCAGTTCGAGAAATATTTGAAGCAGGAGAATTTAATTATCAAAATTAAAGTTCAACTTTGGGAAAAGCGTATAAATATCTGTGTATATACACTATTGAAAGGAGTAAATAATTCAATAGACAGAACATCTCCAAATCAGCAATTCAAAAAGACTCTTTAAGCAGTATAAATAAGCGTTTCTTCTAAAAGGGTCCGTACTGCATTTGTTAAAACTTTTCTGTTGTAAATGAAGTTATATGCTTTTAATTTTTAAAATCTAATTTTTTCATTTTTTCGTAAACACTTAATAAATAACTTTTCTGATTTTATTGAATACTTCACTTGCTCATTTCTTGCACTTCTCGAACTTCCATTCACTGTACTCTCGTAATATCGACGATGAAAGTGCAATTGAATATTAAAATCCTTTAAATTTTACAATTTTTTTTTTTGTATCTGGTAAAAATGTTTTAATCAGCCAAAGTAAAAATTTTGTATTTTTGTATTTTGAACGAAGTACATACATAAATTGCTTAAAAGGGGGGAAAATTCGAAATCATTCAATTAAATTCACTCGGCGCTGTTAAACAGAATTGAGCAAAAAGCAATCATGCGGAAGAATAAATTTATTTCCTCTGCAAACAAAATAAGTAATTTTATTTATGTTGTTTTTGTAGTACACTTAAAAAAATATGAACAAAAAAAAAAGTGATATAAAATATCTTTCATTGCTACTATAAGTACTCGTACAATCGAAAAAAAGGCAACGTTTCATGCAGCAACAGCTGCTGGCTTTTCTTTAATAGTTGCCAACATATTATGTGTGCAGTCCACGTTTAAATAATTTTTCTTCTGCTCGTCAAAAGCACGTTTTGCAGATTTCCATTGTTTTCGTCCTTTGGCATTAAATTCATTTTGTATTTCATTTATATTGCACTCTTAAAAAACATATTTATAGTTTACACATATCGTATTTGGTAGTTGTGCTGTGTGAACCTTTCAACACTTACCGCAAATTTCCCACCAGCAAAAAATTTCACCATCCATGCACAGACACACTTCGCAAGGGTCCAATCGTGGCACCTGGGAATAAAACAAATAAAATGGTGAAATACTCGAACAAAAGTAATTCCTAAAGGATAAATACACTGAAACAAACAAAGAAGAAAACAAATTATAAATGGCGGAATTATGCATATGTGTGCAATTATCCTTAAGCTTGGTAAATGAAAGTTCCATTTAATCACCTGCTCCTCAGAAAATACAAGCAAAAACTTAGAGAACGTGCCTGAAAACTCGGCAAGAACATTAAATGATTTATTATGACTTCAGGATAAGATATTATTGTAGTACCGTCAATGACAGATGCTATAAGGATAGTTGCATTTATTTTCAGTAAACAGAAAATATTTTATTACAATGTATTTACTTGCTCTTATTCATTCTTTATTTTTTTTTATTTAAGCAAGTTTTATTTCTTAATCTGATATAGAAATTTTTATTTTTCTGCAGGTAGTTTTGATTAAAAAACTATCAAACATTTTATAGATTCACATATTGCAGTTAGCAAAATTAGAAATATGCTAATTTCAAACAATTTATGTGTGAGTGATGTTACGTTTACATAATTTAAGGACTTTCATAGCTTCCCCACGATTCAGCAGAGCAATATTCTATTGTCGATTGTATCAACTTACAAGTTCCGAAGTATGAGTAATATTTACTTTCTCTATGGTATCGCATAGGAGGCCATTTTATAGAATTTTTATATAAATGCTATAAAATGGCATTTATATAAGATGTGAATCATTCGTTAAAGATTCAAATAGTATAATTTGAAATGAAAAACCATTTAAAAGAAAAAGAAGGTGTCTTACTTAATTTAATAATAAGTGGATAGAATCAAAATCACTACCCCTAACCTTCAAAAACTCCCTTTTTTGAATGATTTGTAAAAATAAATGCAGCACTCAGATTGTGCAGATCCATTAAATGAAAAATTACTTCCTACATAAAACAAAAATAGTCAGCTTCTTTCAAGGAAGCAAAGAATATTTAGAAGAATTAAGAAGCTCATATATGAGCTATTTACAACATTAAACTCCAGAACTTAAAATCTGATTCTGAGAGAAAAACCATAAAAATGTTGAATGATGTCGCCAATCTTTAAACAAGAAGCTTCTGAAGGGTTAAATTCGGGGAGTAATCTAAATAAAGTAATCGAGTTAATCACGGCTTTCTTATTACTGACTAAATTAACATGTTAATTTCATTGATTTCGAAATTGCAAGCACTTAGAAAAGAAATGCTCACAAGCTCACGACAAAAGAGTATTTGCTGCTTAAATCATGAAAAAAAGTTTTTAGAGCCATCAATAAAAATGCCTGAAATAGAATTGAACGTTACGTAGTGGTAATCCCAGTCTTGATATACCAAAATTTAAATACCGAAAATACAATCAAACTGCAGATTTGGTGTTATTACGTCTAACGGTATTTTTAATACATCAGAATATGCCAATAGTTTTAGCAGACACGCCTTGGATAAATAGGTTTAAAAGGCGAAAATTAGCTTCAGCATCAAGAGCTTGTCCTGTTAAAAATAGTTTCTGTATACTCCAGAAAATGGTTCTTTGAAGCCTGCATTTCGTAACTTTGGAACTTTTTAGTTGAATTCTATAACTCCAAAGGATAGATATTTACGATATTGTGGGTCTAGTTATTGCAATATATGAGGATGCATAAATATGTTTTTTGAGGTGAATCCCTATATATGGTTAAGCTCACATATGACATATTTCATTTAATTGGTCGATTTGGCAGTCATTAAAATTTCAAAAAAAAGTCTAAAAAATGGTAGACAATTTTAAAAGTTGGTGAATTTAACTTTTTTATGAAGAAAACTGTTATTGATAGTTACAGTTTCCTGATTGAAATTTTTGTTGACGATGCAACAGATAAAATTTAATACTTTGTGTTAACTCAAAGATATTCGACATCAAAGACAAAAAACGACGTGGTTAAACGAAAGTTTAAAAAAGGAAGAGTTACAGGCATTTCGCGACCAAACTAGTAGAACTTATTCTAATTACTAAGAAATATTAGGTTGCTGTGTCCCAGATAAACAGTTTTTATCAGTTTCTTTTTTAGTGAGTTAATAATATAATATTAAAAAAAAACCATGTATTTATTACATTTGTTGAAAACACACTCATTTCTCCACAAATTCCATAACTCCTTACTTTCAAAATGTCTTTTACGGGTTTCCAAACTGACTAAAGACTTGCAAAGTGCTTGTGTGAGAACAGAATTAGTACATTTAATTTTACCATAAATAAAACCCAAAATTCTTTATTCCTATTAATAAATATTAATGAAACAAAATATCATGTGCATACCAAGTAGAGGATGAAGGGTTTCAAAAACCACCTCAGAAAGAGCAAGTTCGATTCCTCGAGATAATAAATGTCTAAATAAAAAGGAAAGCGCAATAGATCAAGCTGGTCACAATGCAGAAAGGCCTTAACCTAACCCATAAAGCATTACATTATATTATAACAGAAAAAATATAGCTTTATCAAAAGAAAACAACTTAGTCATCAACTTGCAGAAATGATTTGGTTAATAGACTATTCCAACTTCTCGTTATTCAAAAAACTTCTGGTTTATTAAACCAGTAGTTTTTCAAACATATAAGGCCCCAGCCGTGAAATCCAAAATTACGACACATTTTCGAAGTTTTTCATTCAGGACTTTTTCCTGCGATAACAAATATCCTATAGCCTAATAAGACAATTCACTTATCACCGGCATTTGTAACAAAATCTCTGCAATTTCCAAGAAACTTCTTTGAAAGCATATTTCTGTGGTATAACTTGTTGTTAATATGTTTTGCTGATCATAAAGTTTATTAAAAACAAGAAACATGGCAATTAGTTTCATTTATAATTATATCAATTATCAGTTCATAACAATGATGCTTCATTGTATGGTTTCAGAATAAATTATATTTTTATAAAATCCCATTTGTATATGTGATTGAAGCAAATTTTATATTGAAACGAAAAGACAGAGGTCAGTTTTTTTTTTATAGATGGTATCAATTGAAGCTGGAGTGTTCTTCTTTTTAAGACATTTAATCTTAACTTGAAAATGTACTCCAATATTTGCAAGACTTGTCAAGAAAATGAAGTTCAGTTTATGAGATGAATGGTAACTGTGATGATAGAAGGTGCAAAAAGTTTTTTGTTAAAAAAATGCTTTTGCTTGGATAGAAATTATTAATGTAGAAATAATTCTGTAGTAGGTATACTAAAATCCCTATTTATATAAATATTATTGGAATTAACACAAAGATAAAGCATTTTAAAACGTAAGATTTTTGTATACTAGTTTTTATACTACATTTATACGTACACTACTTTTTATTATATACAAATACAGTATACGCAAGTACAGGGCAAATATAAGGCAGTTACTAATAAAACACACATGAACTGAAGTAAACGTAATTAATTTAATCCCCAGAATTGAGGTTCTTCTCAACAATGTTTATACTAAAATGTAATACTAAAAAGTGAAAAAGAAATTTTTGAAAGGATTGAAATAGAACAACAGAAATTGTCGTCCAAAAATTGAACAATCTTGTTTCATGATACATTGTGATATATATCACAATAATGCTTTAAATGAAATAAAGTATTATAACATTTCTGCACATATAGGTGCGTATAAAAATGAGTACAGTACCTAAAGGTGTAATTCAAATATGTGAAAGATAAAAATGTTAAGTTAAAAAATACGAATAAGTTTTAGAGAAAATCCCAGGGAAATCTTATTACCAAAAATAAAAATTGTATTATTTACTTCGGTCACACTAAGCTTAAAATACATTTATTTTTTTTTATGAGGATATTGACATTGTTTTCACTTCAACACATTCGTACATTTTTCTTTGGCGAAGAGTATTCAACCACATATATTCGTCACATATTAACTGTGACGTGCTTTATCATTCGTCTTCCTATTTTAGTAAAGTGGACGCATCAGTAAAATAAATGTTGTCGTTGACTTCTTGCTTCAGTGTCATATTTCATTCTGAAACTTTTTAACGCTTCCACGGATTGCACTTCTTGAAGTCGTCTAAGTGCTTGAATAGAAAAATACATGAAGAGAAAAGATTGATTTCAGACTTTAAAACTTGTGTAAACGTATTTATTCTTTAATATTGTTTTGTGCTAAAAATTGAAAAAGTTATGGATAGTATTACACACAGTAATATATCACACTTATAAAATATGTCATAACGAGTTTAAAAAAATTATTTAAAATTATTTATTACTGTTGTTTGCTAAGTCATAGCAATATTTCTTCATTTCCTCATAAAGCACTTGACAAAAATTTTAAGGAAGACACATAATGCTTTTTAAATTGACAATTGTAAATTAATACTATTCTTATCATAAACAAATTTATTGAAATTTTATTTGAATAAAGTATATTGCATTTTGGCACTCAGTAAAAGTCACAAAATAGATTTCCAGTACAACAAAAAAAGTATTTATCAACTTTAGTCTGTATATCTTTCATATTGTTTGTCCCTTTATCGCCTATAGAAGCATAGAGCCTCATCTATAGGAGCATATGCATATCTTACATAGCAACATTTAATGATTTACAATACTTTTTGAACAACCACATTTAAAAATTCTCTTATTTGAATGGAAGCTAATAATAAAAAATTATACCAACCATAATATTTCCTATGGCAATACAGAACTCTAATCTCTGCTAGACAAGATTGAACTCAGTACTGTCAAATAATGATAATTCAATTCATATTTACACACACCGTTCAAAGTTCTAAAATAAATGAAAAGAGTTTCTATGCTTAGATACTTTTAGTAGGTCTTTTAACTTCAAATTACCGGAATATTGTAATCTCTTCCAAGTTAACATAAAAGGCAACTATGAGACAGCTGAAATAGTATAATGGCATAAGTCATTATGCGAGTATAGCGATATAAATATTTTTACGAATAGCTAAGCTGTCTTAAAATTAAATATAGAGCCGAGATAAAGACCACTGACATTGTGCCATTCATATTTAAAAACAATTTTAAAATAAGTAATATGATATTACGAGAAATTTGGAATTAATTAGTTTGGATTATGTTCGGCTAAAAATGTTATATAGCAGAAAATATTTTTAAACATGTTTTGTAATATTTCATTAAAATAGTTATAATACGATCTATCCGCCAATTTATTTATATTCACCTCTGTATTATATATATGCATATCTGTTTATTAATATGCATATCTAAAAAGCGATGTTCCTAACGATGGTATTTAAATACTCAAGATCTAAAACCAACTCTTCGAAACGTTTATTTTCCACATTATTTTTTTAAAATTAACATATAGAGAGAAAAATGATTCATAATTAATCAAGTTTTTATTATTTAAATTATATTATACAGGAGAGAAGAGTGGTGTTTATCTTCTTACTCCAACATTCTATTAATAAGCCACAGCCACTACTCCGATAACGCAATAAAATCTAAAATATATACTCCAGTTCCGTCCTTTGGAAAACTTATTAAATAATAAACAACTACCAAAGCAGAAAATAAGTAGCATATTGCAAAAATCTATTACACACACCTAGAAACTTTCGGTCAAAAATATTCCATAAAAGAACCATCACTCTACTAAGCTTAACAAAGAATTATATATATATTACCGTGGGATTATATTAAGTGTTTACAGTAAAAATTCCCAGTAGAAATACAACAATGTTAGTTGCTTCATTTTCTCTGATGAACTAAATTAATTACAATATTTTCATATTTTTCCATGCTTTTCAAATTAAATTTACTTATTTTTTATTATATTGCTTATATTTACATAGTGAGACTAGTTTTAAAACTAATTACTAATTAAAAGTACCTTTTGTCCATGTGTATATTTTCGACCACCAGAATGACATGATGCCGCTCTCTCATGCGGTTCCATATCATCACTTTGATTAAGTTCTTCATTACTTCCTATATGCTTATCCATATCCTCTTCAGAACTTTTGACCACTTTTTGATCTTTACGCATTTGTTCTGATAACAATCGCGTATCATATTTTGCCTTGGATTGCTGTGTATCCAAATCATATGACAATTGATCATGATCATCCACATAATCTAGTGACACTGAAAACACAAAAATTTAAAAAAAATGTATTTATTAATATGAAAAATAATTATGAAATATATTAAAGATTTATATAAGAAATATATACAGAATTAGCTATAGAAAAAGGAATGTCTGTATTAGATTGTTCTATATTGTTACTTATAAATTGTTTGTTCTTTTTTAATTAAATATTGATAGTATAGAAATAAAGGGACTATCAAACTACTGGAAATTCAATATTCTCATTGATGCAAATATCAGTCTTATGGTAGGTTGACTTACAGGTCACTGAAAACTAGGAACCATGCTAAAAGATTGAATGTCCCTTTCAATCCTACTTGTCGCAACTGTGGAGAAGACGATGAGAGTGCTTCTCATCTTTTGCCCAGCTAATGCACGGCGGCGACTTAATACTTTAGGAGCCCCCTTGATTGAGGATCTTGATCAATTACAAGACCTGACACTAATCTATATTTAAAGCTTCGCTAAAGATGCTAGCTGGTTTTAAACCCAGAGTTTTTCTATATATACGGTAACACAATAGACCAATAGGACTAAGTGGATCCCCTGTGGATCGTAGGTATAACTTAACCTAAACTACTTCTTTCTACTTTTT